TTCACAGCTCTGGCCTAAGTCATAAACATGGACACTCTGGACTTACTTCTTAGCCTGGAAAGCCAGACTAAATAAATATATTATTTAGTCTGGCAATGCTCCATTGACGGCTCTCGGTCGTGGGGCGGGTTCTACTGTTGTCTTTCAAATGATCGCTGCATGCTACTGGACAATGAACGCGACATACTCGCTGCAACGGATGTCGGTAAATGAGACGGTCCGCTGTTGAAGATGGCGAAAATACATCCTTTTTTTTTCTAAAAAAAGCACTTGAATACATCTATCTGCTCCTGAATCTAATAAAGTCCAGGTCCAAATGGCCCAAAATTTATGTAAAAGCCATTTCAAATTAGCTATCGCCATCTTGTTCCACTCTGTTGCATCATCCCGCCCACCAGACAAATAAAGGGCCCTGATTAGCCCACAAAGCGGATAGAGCTCTGTGATTGGCCCACCATTGTGGCTTGGGGAGAAATTATGACACGTCTCTAAATAAAGTAAAATTTTCCAGTGCAGATTGGACACAACCCATAGAAGCACTGATTTGATCTCATTTCAGAGAAAAATAGAACAGGTCAGATGCACCTAATAAATAAAATTACTAACAAACTCAGAAATCTTTCTTTGCTTCACTGTTCTGGTGCTGAAAACATCACTAATGCGGATCAAAGGAGATACACAGATGAATGTACCTCTTATTTATTATTTGGAAACTACATTTACTGCAGCTGGCAGAGGCAGAGATATTTTCTATTGATACACAGAATTTACAGAATCATTTTAAATTTTAATATGGGAAGACTGCAGGAGGGAGCGGTAAAATACAGGGGGTCCCCAGCAAAAACAAGAAACTACGAGTCTGATGAAACCCGCTGGTTTTCCATTAGGCAGTCACGGGGCAGCTCCAACGACCCAGTGGCTGTACTGGGTCAATGTTATCGAGCTCAGTCCGGCTCGGCCGTGAACGAGCCGAGGCAACGTCGTGCTCTGCTTAAGAAGAGGTGTTATTTTCCCGCTTCAGAAGAAGCGCCCAACGTGTTTTTACGCTTTCTCCGAGACATGTTATGTCGCTAAGTTGTTAGCGCCGCGCGCTAACGCATCAATAGTGCAGCGTAGCCTGCTGGAGGTTTTAAGGGTTCAGATGAAACACTCGACCTCTCAGGCTGCTCATGCATCGATCTTAAGTTGTCGCTGTTGCGCTCACGCCGTAATACAGTATTAGATGCGGTTAAAGTCAGACATGAAAAAATAAATAAATTTTACATGAATAAGTGATGCTTAGCCTGGTGGGGGGAGGAGAACCTGGCCTAATAAGCACTGGAGGAAACCCTGTCAAGATCGTCAACACTCGTTTATCTTAATGCTACTGAAACATGTAAACCAAAAAGCATTATATCCACTGCTACCTTTCTAATTTTAAACTCAGTAACTTATGCTGTAACTTCACCTTGCCCTGCCTGCCCCTTTCTTCTTGCTGCCCGCCGGCTGTGATCACAAGCGACAACATAGTAGTTCCCGCTGCTTCTTCGGGAAACAGCGCAAAAAAAAAAATAAAACTTGGGATCTTGTAGGCGTGGCAGTAAGATTTCAGCCGTGGCGGGCCGCCATGGCTACGCCTATGTAAGGGAAACACTGAGTTCAGTTAAAGGGAAACTCAAGATTAAATGCAGCTGCTGTCAACAACAAATAACAGATTTAAAACATTAAAACTCTCAACAGACTAAATAGTGTTTGTGTGTTGTGACATTTATTATGTGAATATTATTATTCTTATTATATTTATTTATTTATTACCCCTATCGGCCCCTAGTGGCCAGAACCCGGTGTGGTCCACCACAGAGAAAGGCTGCTCTGGCATGATGACTTTAATTATTTTACAGGTCATTGCTCAGCCGTCTGAAGGTCACGCTCACACAGACGAGTGTTGGTAAATGGCTGTTTGACTGTTGATGATCCATGTGTGTTTTTATTTCTGCAGTGAGCCAAAACCACCCAGAGTTTGTTCTTTAAAACTCATGTTAAATCCACTGTTTGATGCATTTTAATGAGCTTCCTCTGTAGGGATGGGTACCTTTGACATTTGAATCGATCCGGTACTAATTCCCGGTACCTACGAATCGATACCGGTACTTAACGGTACCAATTTTCAATACTTTTGAGTGTTTAATATTTTAATTCTCTTTTATAATTAAATATAAATTTTTCTCAATATATAACCATATTTGATAAATATCACGATAAATAACATACAACTGTTTGTATTTTAACATCGTCCTTGTAGTTTTATAAGCTGATAATTAAACTGAAGCAAACATCTTTACTGTGAACAAAATTTACTGTGTATCTTCATTCCTTTTGCTGTCCTTTTTCAATTGATTTTTCCTACTGGGAAGTTAGAATTTCCGAGGAGAAAGCGAACGTACCATTAGCTGATAACAATGGTGGCATAGGAAGCTAACATATCAAGCTAACATTATCTTAAACAGTTTATTTAGCTGCTGGAGCAGATTTAAACGATGATGCCTGACACTTAGATCGTTGTCACTGGTTTCATCTTCACTCAATCACCCGTCGCATTTAGTAAAGTGACGCCAAACTTTAGAGCGCGTTCATGTTCTTCTAGTCGGAATTTCGGAGTTCTGAGGAGAAAGCAAACGCACCATTAGTGAAACGGAAGCTAACATATCAAGCTAACGTTATCTTAAACATTTTATTTACCTACCGGAGCAGATTAAGATGAGGATGTCTCACTTAGATCGTTGTCACTGGTTTCATCATCACCCAGTTACCCATCACATTTAGTGAAGTGGACCCAAGCTTTAGCGTTCGTTCTTTCTACCATGCTGCTCTGTTTACAACTGGCTCGCAGCGACCGACGACATAACGCTCTTGCTCATGTGCAGCTGTCTAGGCAAGTTCTCATTGTGAAGGACGGGTACTGAAACGAGGCACCGTTTCAAATGAAGTGAATCGGTGCTCAGTCGGTACTGTGGAATTCGGTCAGTACTTTAAAAAGTACCGAATTCGGTACCCATCCCTACCTCTGTGTGGTACTTTTTGCTGCAAAATGCAAATGTTACATCACGGAGCGAAAGTGCGGCAGATGCGTTGTTTTTTCACATTTTTGCTGCTGCGCGCCTGCGCAGTGTGAGCGAAGGGAGGGGAGACGTGACGCTGCTCTCTGTGTCTCTGCAGGCTGCAGATTAGTAGCGACAGGCAGCTGGTGTGATCAGCTCTGAAAGACGTTGATCAGAATTTGCAGATCATGTTTTTTTCAAGGGAGATCGGCTGCAGACTCTTCTAGTCAGCAACCTGGGAATCAAAACTAGGAATCAAAATTAAAATATCGGAACAATTCCAGGAAAAACCGATACCTAACCTTATAGGAGAGCCCAACCCAAGTCCCCAGAGTCCTCTTCCTCACTAGAAGATTTCACATGGTCAATGTTGGATTGAGGAGGTCTTTGAAGTACTCATCGATCCCAAGTCAAGGTCAGCAGCACACCATCACCACATTAAACAGTGTTGTAGCAAACTGCTTTCCACTCATGAGATGCTGGATGGTGGACCAGAATCGCTTCCCTGGGGACGTGCTCGAAATTCTGTCGGATGTGGGAATTGAAGCTCCTTCTGACGAGAGACTCCGCCAGACATTCCCAGCAATCCCTCACAATATGTTTAGGCCTGCCAGGCCTGACATCCCTAGCCTGGCCTGCGTGACTCGTGCTATGTTTAATTCTACACAGAGAACTAGTCTGGTTACTCACAGGCGGAGAAGCACATGAGGGGCGGGACTAGCCAGCTCAAAGATAACCAATGCCGACTGTACCGCGCGACGCTCTAGTTTTGTAGCTGTAGTCAAAAGGCGACCGGTGACGGCTCAAACATCTTTCTTCAGAAGAAAGGCTTTTAGCGCTTCTACTTGTTATGGTTTTAAAGACGTTCAAGTTATTTCGAATTTAAAATAGAATAGACTTTATTGATCCCACGGTGGGGATATACACTCGTTACAGCAGCACATACAATTAGAGAAAAGGAAGAAGAAAAATAACAAAAGTACAGGTAAACACACAAAGGCAGTAAGTTATTATTATTACCTTAAACCAATAAAAACAATAATTAAAAAGAAACTTGGGTTTCTAGAACTATGCAGCATAAGGGACACAGACATGCTTGATGTACATCTGGTATTGCACAAGTATTGAACACATACTGAACATTGCATTGATGCTATTGTGAAACATGATAATGCCAGTACCAGTTCAACTGAGGAGTTATGCACTCTTACTGCAGAGGGGATGATTGACTTATGATAGTGTTCTGTTTTACATCACATCTGCCACTGGAGGAGCTGTCCATGGCCTCCACAGTGGAACGCAGTGGGTGGGAGGGGTGTTCCAAGATGGAGGTCATCTTCACCACCGTCTTCTTTTCACACATCTCAACTGAATCTAGCTGGCATTCCAAAAACTCAGCTAACTTTTTTTAACTAGCTTGTTCAGTCAAGATCAGCAGCTATGCTTAATTATAAACCTGGTTTGAGAAATTTTAAACCTAGTTCTACTAATCTCTGATTAGTGCTAATCTTAGTTTAAATTAAATATTGCTGGTGCATTCGGGCCTAGACTAATAACACTATCTAACTTGTACTACTCAACCTCTACCAAAAGTCCCAACTCCAACTATTTCCTCACCTCTGTAGTGATGTTCCGTGTTCTAATTACCAGTTTTTGTGTCTGGAGATCGAAATTCATTGGTTTACTACTTAGTCAACATTGCACTAAACCCTTCTTTCCATCTTCAGTACATTTTGAGGAATTCACAGGTGTCAAAACCAGGTTAAGCTAAGCATAGCCATCAAGTGCTCGCACACATACTCAAACCCTAAATCTGTCTTCAGGTTGGTACTCGGGTACCCCACTTAACTGATTTCTTTGATCCACTGTTGTCATCTCTATAAATGATCTTCTGAACACCCATTTGTCTCGCCTTTCACCCAGGAAAAATTTGCCATGGGAGACCCTACTAGAGGCAAAGTGCCTCGGACAGCATAGCTCTTAGGATCATTAGGACACTCAAACTTCTCCATCACGGTAAGATGGCTGTTTCTGGAGGTTACATGTTTAAAAGTTGAAATACTGTCAAACCTATAACACAGCAATGATGTTACCATTGAAATATTAATTAAATATAGACTATTGAAGGAGCTCTATGTGTTGCCTTCTTTACTTTAAATAATGCTTTGTTGTTCCTCTGATTCTGTTTTTCAGTTTGCAGCCCTTCCCCTGCGGACAGTCCTCTGCAGCCCTTCTTTGATTACAGGCCTGGCATCTTTCATCCATTCATTCTTCTTTCCACTCATCCATCTTTTTGCCTTGTCATGAAAGGCCTGTCCGGTAGCCGGAGTCACCATCACGTGGTCTCCTATGAACCGTCATATGATCCATTAGGTCACTATGTTGACCGTAAGCCATATTTGTTCAGTCAGGTGGACATGCCAGTGCCCATTCCTATGCCACATCCAGCTGAGTTGCCCTACTACAATGCTCAGCATACCTCGTACCCCTCTGACAGCAACAGCATTGTCCCATATGGAACCTTCCCAAGGAGGTGCCACTCCACCTCCTCATCTCACCATCCTGAGGTAAAGGATGAGTGCATGGCCATGGTACCATATGTAAGAGGAGTAGGAAGAGGGGGAGGAGGTGGAGGAGGCTATGGGGGTAAAGCGCAGTCTCGGGTACCAGTAAGCTTTCTGGACCCGTTTGAGCAACAGCCACCATTTTCCAGAGATGGCTACCACACACTTCAGTACAAACGAGGAGTATTGTCTCAGAGTGGGGGAATGGGGGCCAACGAGAACAACAATGACAGTCCTGGGAGAATTCGACACCTGGTCCATTCAGTTCAGAAACTTTTCACAAAATCACACTCATTAGAAGGGCCACATCACACACAGTCATCAAAAGGGGCCAATAATGGGAGTGTTAATGGTGGCGGTGGTGGTGGAGGAGGTGGCGGTGGTGGTGGTTCAAGGGCCAGCTCAGAAGGAGTGAGCACTCCAGCTGGAGTGCGCCAACGGAAGCGCAGCAAGAGCCGCGAGCGCTGTCGATCAGCGGAGCCCAAGCATCGAAGCTACCACCATCACCACCACCCCCAACTTCATGGCTCAACATCTGCTCCTGGTTCTGGATATTGGAGCTCGGATGACAACCTGGAACGGGAGCTGTGTCTCTACCACCCTCATCACCACCAACCTCCACCCTCACCTTCCCTCTCCATTTCTCCCTCACCTGTGGCTATGTCAGTGAGTCAGTGCCACAGCAACAATCATGACAAATACCCCCAAACACCCCTTCCTAGTCTCTCCTCATCGCAGTCCCAGCAGTACTTCATGATGGACCCCTATGGGACACTTAACGAGCACACACACACCCATGCACGCCATGGCCACACGCACCACTCTGCGCTCAAAGCCTCCCGGAGCAACAGCGATATGAAATATGCAGCATCACCAGCATGTGTGCCAGTTAGTGGTAGCAGCAATAACAGCGGTGGTGGTATCGGTGGAGGAAGTGGCCCCTTGCTGCCACTGGGTCTTGTGGACGGACCTCTTGAGAAGAAAAGGGCATGGTCATCAAGCCTTACGGTGAGCAGAGCTCGAGAGGTCTACTCCAACAACAGCAGCTACAACCAGCTACGAGCCAGCGCAGGATCCGGTAACCTAAACCTAGATAGAGCTCTAGTCAAATCTAAGGGCAGTCAGCAGCAGGACCACTCTTGCCATTTCTTACAGGTAAATAATTTCTCGCTGATACCCATTCAAACCAGTCAATTCACCTTTCCTTTCCCTGTTTATTTCCTTTTCTCCACAAATTAATTTTCATACCAATGTTTCCTCTTAGTCAGTGGCATTCATTTCTATCAAACCGAGGTTTTAAACTTTTCAACTAATACATTTTGTGGCTTAAAATAGCAAAAATAAAAACAAAATAAAGAGACTTCCTTTACTGGAATGAGCCAGTGACTTCCGGTGAGGAAGGGTTAGGGTTCTCTAAACTGGTGCTGAAGTTTACCTTCTCAGTGGTCTAGTGGTAGTGGGTCCGCCGTGAGACTGGGAGATTGGGGTTCTAATCGTGGTCAAGTCATACCAAAGACTTTAACAATGGGACCCAATGCCTCCTTGCTTGATTCTCGGTTTCAAAGGGTTGGGAGGAGTTAAACCACCAAATACTTCTCGAGCGAGGCCACAGCTGCAGCTCACCGTTCCCCATGGTGATGAGTCAGATGCGGAGATGAATTCCACTAGTGTGTGATGACTAATGACACTTTAATTTAGGTCACCCAGGTGGTCATAAAGATTCTCAATGGCAAGGCCACAGAGTAGATGGGATTCGCCCAGAGCTCCTTAAGGCTCTGGATGTTGTGGGGTTGTGTTGGTTGATGCAGCTCTGCAGTATTGCGTTGACATCAGGGGCAGTTCCATTAAATTGGCAGACCGGGGTGATGGTCCTGCAATTTAAACAGGGGGACCACAGGGTGTGTTCCAACTATAGAGGGATTCCTGTTGGGGTACTTAGGAGCATGGGGTACCAGGGCCCTATATGCTCAAATAGCATTTTCACATCTGGCCTGGTCCGGTCTTGGTAGTGTCTGCCCACCCCCATGTGGCTAGAGTTAGTTCACATATTCTTCTCAGGAACGCAGATGTCTCAGAGCATGTGGGCGGGGCAAAATATGCTCAGAAGTCTGCAACAGTGAGAGAAGTCTGGAAAAAATAGTCTACAAAAGAATTCTTTTGACACTCAATATGGCTTTCGTGAAAATCATTCTACTTACGTGGCCTTACTCAACTTCACCAAAAAAGTCTCAACTGCTCTTGGAAAAAATAAATTAACTTGTAGTTAGGGTTGTCACGGTAACCGGTGTAGAGGTAAACCCCTGTAAAAATATTGACAATAATAATAACTGTCTTGTTTTTAAAAAATTATATTATCTCGTTGGATTACTGTGGCTGCGGTGTAGGCGCGGTGACCCTTACCAGCCACCGTATCATATGCTAAAGTTGCCGGCGGCACATGCGCACTTTGTTGTTTACAGCCAAAACTTTCTTGAAGCTAACGCTGAAATAATGGCCAAATGAGGAGACGGCAGTGCTCAGGACATTTATTATCCCTCAAAGAAGACAAAGTGGGAAGTACGGGCATTTTTTGGATATCTGAAGAATGTCGAGGGACAGTTTATAGAAGAAGGCTGTCCTGTTTGCAGCACGTGCAGAAAAAGTGTCTGTGAAAGGCAGCAACGCTTCAAATGTCATGACACATCTGCGTGGCCATCACTCACTACTCCACAGTCAACGCAAGGCAAGCTAACGTTAGCGTTTGAGCTAAAATACGTAATCCGAGGATTTGGGTTGAGGGAGAAAGCAACGAGTCGCTATATAAAGCAGCCGCAGCACCGCTACCTGCATATAAACCGTGTCGCGGACACCGCCATGTTGAAATGACGCTATGCATTACGGGGCTCCCAGGAGCAGATAAGAGTTGGTCTCTCTCCGAGAATAATTATGAATTTAACAATGATTACTGCCTGATGACATTTTCCCAAATCTGCAAAGCTCACTGGAAGGACACAAACCGAGGACAATATTTTCCTGATATAGGGTTTATTACTCAAGTAAGGGTAAAAAAGTATCTGATTAGAAGGCTACTTGAGTACTGAGTATCATCTGGTCTAATATTTTTAGAATGATGACATCAAACAGACAAAAAATCAGAAGTTATGGGCAAATATTGGTATTTTCAAAACTAAAGGGGAAAAATGTAAACAAATAAACAACATAATTACAAAATAACACATTTTTGGTAAAATTTAGACACAAACTGAGGACAATAATTTCCTGATATACAGGGTTTATTTAGTTGTCTGAAAATGTAACACGTTTAAAAAAATACAGCGATAATACCAAAAACCGTGACAATTTTGGTCACAATAACCGTGAGGTTACATTTTCACACCGTGACAACCCTACTTGTAGTATTTTCTTAGACTTTTCTACCACATTTGATACTGTTAATCATACAATTATTTTAGCGAAACTACACAATTATGGTGTTAGAAATGTTACAAATGTTTTTTTAAATTATCTTTCTAATAAAACTCAATTTGTTTCTGTTAACCCTAACAGAGCTGGTCTCCACTGTGGGGTACTGCAGGGTTCCATTCTCGGTCCACTTATTTATATTGATATATTTAATGTATCAATCCTGCTATCAACAGTTAGGTTGGCACATGAAGTAACGTAAGTTGAATATGTAACACAGACACTCTGGTGACCTCTGGTGTTTAGAGGTGGTATTGCAACAAGACTAATTTTCCAGCCATTTGGACCTTTGGTCTTTAGCCTGGTGCTGCACAAGCAGTAGGCTTTGATCACTGGACCCCAGGGACCTGCTGGGATAGATTCAGTAATCAGTAGATTAGAGGTTTTTAAATGAGAGTCTGCCATTTCTGTCATTGAAAAATGTAAAACAGACACTGGAGTAAAACTCCTCAAACGTGCAGAACGTCTCAGGAATGGTAGGTGCTGATTAATCGTTCTGATTTTTAACACAATCCTTGCCCTCCAACAATGTCATGGATACACCTGATTACTGTAATGGTTCTAGAGATAATCTTATCAGATATTCCTGCTGAGTGTGGTGTGTTAAGAGCACTCTAGTCTAGGGGTCTCCCATGCTTTGAAAATCTTCCAACAATTTTTAAATCTCACCATGTGAACCGGCCAAAAGTAACTGCACCAAAGACAAACAGGTCATGACAATAAAACAGCGTGTGTGATGTTGGAAACAGCAGCATCACATGTTTCATCTGACAGTGAGGCTTCTCCTATTGGTGGACTATTTCTCTGAAAGGGCTTACAGTTAATGGGGTCAGTTTGGTTCCGTGAGAACTCAAAATCCATTGTTCCACCATGCAGCGAACACAAATCGCAAAACGGTTTTAATAAGTTTGACACAGAAGCATCTCAGTTGGCCTGTTTTATTTTTCTCGGCTAATTGAACTTATGCTCTGACCTTTTGCCTCATCATCAAACAGTGTTACTCTGTTTTGCGTAAAGTTTAAAACATATTTATTTAGCCTTTGGTCGGATTGACAACTGCGGATTTTATGGGCTGAAGAGGTTTGATGGAATATCACTGACTAAGGCTGAGGACACACTAGAGCTAATCTCAACAGAACGTCATTGTTCGAGTCATAGTCCAAACACACAATACCTTCCTGACTTGTTTCATCCTTCACATTTTCAGAAATATGGGACCTTATGGTTTGGGTCATTTAGTTTAAGGGTTTTAGTATTTCTATGTATGTAAAGGAGAAAAAGAATGTTTTACATTTCATCAAATTACAACATTTTAAGTAGCTTAACTATTTCTGGCCTTAGACAACGTTGGACTGAGCCCTGCCTAGGGCTGGGCGATACAGCCTAAAATCAATATCACGATATATTGAGGATTTCACCTCAATAACAATAAATGGACGATAACTACAGGTATGTGCAGAAACAAAAGTTGTCCACTAGATGGGGCTGTCGCATGGGTAACGTTGCGTTACGTTGTTACGTGACTCAAGGTGGTACAGTTTCTTAAAAGGAACTCTGGCTATGAGGACGTGTGTGCCCTAATAAGCCACACGTTTTATGTTGTACCAAACTAAGTTGTTAGAAACACAAAATATAGCTGTTTATTTATAAATCTATAATATTTAGTACATTTTTTGACATACGTAGGACTCCATGCTTTCCACACGCAATGCACTCTGGGGGCGATGACGTATATCGGTTGCACTTGGAAGAAAAGCTATTGACGCTAGTGTTTGTTTACGTGCTCATCGTATTAATAATTAAATAAAATGCAGCATTGTGCTGCTTTTGGATGTAATTTCCAGTCAGAGGGCAACAAGGGGAGTGATGTGAGTTTACACAGCTTTCCCACTGGCAAGAAGAGGAGAAAGCAGTGGGAAGAAGCCCGTGGACGGACACAACTTCCCAAAGATCCGCAGCTGTGTTCCCAAAATTTTTCTCCTGATGTGTTCGAGGCTTATAGTCGACCACAACTACTTAAAGAGTTCCCCAGAGCGGCTGGGTATAAGAGAGGGCAGAAACTAAATGCTTTACCGACCATTTTCCCACACAAGGAGCCTAAACGCCCTCGGAGACGCTGGACGCTCTCCTGCAGCTTCCGCTTCTGTCATGTTGGGCGAACCATCAGACATGCCACTTGTCATGGATGAAGCTGAACATTCCCCTCTCCTGTCATTAAAACAAGCAGTAAGTGCAGCAATACGGTGTTCTCCAAATATGTAATATCTGCAGAAATGATTAAAGTGGTTTCACTGAATATGCTAATCATCTATGAAGCACACGACAGCTCTGGATGCTAATATTCCTCAAAATCATTCATAATTGAATAAGTTTGATCACACGATAGCTTACCGTTAACTTCTGCTGACGAAAATGTGAGCTCGCTTCATCCCGCCCTTCTTGCTCTTCACGTTGATGCTCGTTTTGTGAAACATGGTCAGTGATGTCCTCATTAATGGTTCCCACTTGTTCAAACTGAAAAGGCTGAACAGATGACATGTTGATGTTGCTGAACAGTCACTACAGGGTCCCAAAGTCGGCCGGTGCAACCGAGGCACAACCCTGTGACGTCACTACCCAGAGTGCAGTACTACCCGCTAACAACAATGGCGACCTACGAGTTAAACAATTTTTACAATATTTTATAAAAATGAAGACCTTAAGAAGTTTTTTTACACCATTTTAATATAACCGATACTAACATTTATCTTTTAACAACTGCAAAGGTTTGTAACCTGCGTTCCTTTTAAAGGGACATGAGTGTTGCCAGCCTACACACATCTTTTCATTTTTTTATTATCAAATTTATTGACATGGGAAATATTATCATGATAAGAGTCAGAAATTTTGCTAACGATACATTTTTTATTTATTGCCCAGCCCTAGCCCTGCCTAAACATTGTTGTTGTACTCAGATTTAGGTTTGCAATGACATTCTTCATCAGCTGTACCAAAGGAAGGCTGATGTTGCGTTTTCATATCAGTGTGGCTTCACATCTGAAAGCTGCAGGATGCGCCAGAGCTCTGTCTTGTGACAATGGGCCACTGTTTACCCAGTTAAATTCTAAAATAGCCTGCGTTCGATATAGCACACCCCCTCAAGGCACTTTACAACACAATGGGTCATTCATCCATTCACATGAATGTTCACACACTGGTGGCGATTGAAGCCGCAGCTTCCCTGGGGCGCTTTGACACAAGGGAGGCTGCCGAACGCAGGCGCCACCGGTCCCTCTGACCACCACCAGCAGCGTAGAACGATTGGTCTAAATAAATAAATAAATAATCAAACAAACGAATAAAGATCAAATGAAACAACACGGACAGTATCTACAGGTGAGGTTGTCCTAGCAGGGTTTAAAGCGAGGATGGAATGTGTTTACAAGACAACGTTGACACGTGAATGATGTGAGGCCATAGTTGGTCATCAGGGTGAGGCTCTAGTGTGTCCACAGCTCTGAAGGAAGCATTGGTACCTTGCTCCTCAACTCTAGTCATTTACTCTTGCCCCCCCACCCCCACCCCCCACACACACGCACACACACACACTTTTCCTCCACTCACTCAACTCACCCTCAAGCTTCTTTTTACCCAACATTTTGCCACCCACCTCCGTTACCTCTTTTTTGTTTAGAGAGCGTCCTTCCTCCTCCTCTTCCTCCTCTTTCCTCCTTTTGAACTGAGAAGTAAGTGCAGAGCCAGTAGCAGCCTTACTCTCTTAACTCTAGTCATGACTTCATGGAGTTAAACCCTCATTCCTGTTTGCAGACTTCATTTTCGACTTCGTAGGACCTCTTTTCCTTTCCCCTTACCCGTAACTGAATCTTTTCCTATTGTCTGTGTGTTTGTGGTTTGTTGTTGTGCTGAACCGTGTTATGTTGGGCTGCTGTAAATCAGGGTGGTACATTTATCTCAGTAAAATGACAAAAATACCCTCTGGTTGTGCATTTAGTTTTATGCAGCTGTTGTAAGTGCCTCCTGCTGGTCCAAGCACACATGATCTAATCATTTATACAGGCTGAGGCTCTGATTTGAACATTACTAACGTTAGAATTATAAATCAGACTCTGACTCATGTTACTGACTCATTTTGTTGACCTAAAGCTTGATTTATTTTGTTCAAGTCTGCATTTGACCACTGAGCTTGTTTTTGATTTGTTATCTAAACAGGATCACTCAAATGTTTCCTGTAACTTCAACTATAACCAGAAAAGACAATCTGATTGGTTGTAGTCGAAGCTTAAACGGATGCAGGTCAAATGGGGGTCAAACCGAACAAAAGGGCACATCGAATTAGCAGTTAGTTTGTCGTTTTTCTTCAGCATCCTCACTCCTGGGTTGCACTGTTACCTGTTATTTGTAAAGCTGCTGCTTTAAGACATCAAAAACAGAGTTGCCAAGGGAACGGTAGACATTTTGTAGTGTAGAATCCACAGTTGATGCTTGAGACATACCGCACCTACCACGTCCGTGTGAAAATCACACGTACAGAAACTAATTTCTTCAAACTGAAATAGAAATACATAGAAGGTAGACAGCATACGCTGGATAATGAGGGCTTCAGACAGCAGTGGTGCTGTTTCTCAGCTCTTCAGTAGACGCAGCGTCAAGCCGCTGTGGATGTAAAGCCAGTGCGTGGGTGAGAGGCAACGCTGATAATACTGCAGCTGGTCCTTTCCCCGCATTCTCTTTTTATAGCCAAGCTGCTCATTTGTGTCTGTTTGACGTCACGCACATAGAGAGGCAGAGACGGAGACATTTAGCTCCGCAGATCTGCTCAGCCTCTTCTCAATGATTCTAATCATCCATTCTAAAATTAGCTGCAGTGTTTCTGCTGTTTGTTCCTATAGATTGGTGTTGTTGTGTAGTTGCAGCTAAAGGTTTTCTTCCATATAAAGCAGCTCGTTCTGTTCATACGCGCCTGTGGTTGAGCTCATTTGCCAGATGTGTGAACAGCCCTGGACCCCTGGGCAGAACAGAGGCCAACGGGGTGTTTTCTCACCACTAGCTGATTGGCTTGGTGTGTGATATCAGGAACGTGAGCTCGTTGTTGGCCCTCTTGTTTATCGTTTGATTGATTCCATTTTGGTCTGAACTAAAAAAACGTTTATTTAAAATGTAAAAAGTAATGTTTCACTAGAATGTCTACATTTGTTTGGTAGAGTGTGTTCTTTGGTGTGTTTAGTTTTTAAGAGCACATACATTTGAGCACAAATACACACTTTACACAATCAGAAGTATTTTTGTTTGGTGAACTGAGCTCATTTGTGTAAAGCAGATGTTTGACACAGCTGGAGAGAAACTGCACAATGGCCTCTGTATATACTGGTCCATGCTAATTAGCCCCCATTCTCCTACTGTGATGTGCATGTTGGAGACAGGCATGGATGAGAAGAAATGTCAGCCATCAGTTAGTTTAAATACACTCTGGATGTTTGATTGTTCTCTGAGTCATCCTTGGTGACCAGCCCAGTCTTTATGGGTTCTTTAGACTAGAAGGATGGTTAGTTGGCCAGTGTGGAGGCTGGGACTCAGAGGAAAGGGAATTTATCCTGACCACATCTCACCGGTTTTCCTCCTGGCTATCAGGTACCTCAAGATGAGTGGAGCGGTTTCTCTCCTCTGGGGAAAGAGGATGACATCCCTTGTCGGAGGATGAGGAGTGGCAGCTACGTCAAAGCCATGGCTGAAGATGACAGTGGGGACTCCGATGGGAGTCCCAAACCCTCACCAAAGATGCAGGCGCGTCGGGCCAGCTACCTGAAGGCCACACAACCATCCCTTACTGAGATGACCACTCTGCAGTAAGATCTTTGTGTTTACTTTGCCTGACCCAAATAAATAAATAGAAATCAGCGTAAACCCCTCGTCTCCTCTGCGCTGTCACGTGATGACATCACAAACTTTATGGAATGTTTCCAAAAGTTGGACTAAACGTTTAAAACCTCTTATGTAAAACAGAAAATTCAACCATGCATTAAATGACTTTTACTTATCTTTTAAATGTATTTTTATTTTTTAATCCTAGTCTCCTACGTGCACTCCTTTTTCATGATGGTATCGAAACTGATGCCGTTGCTATTTTTTTAAGAAGAAGAAGAAAGTATCATTTCTATAGCGCCGCTCAAGATAAAAATCACGAGGCGCTTCACAAAAACAAAAATAAAATGTAAAAATATAAAAAAGCATTTAGAAAATCTTTAAAAATATATGTTTAAAATGAGCAAAAATAGGCAATTGTGATTAAAAAAATGTTAAGAAAGAGAGAGAGTGAATAGGAAAGAGGGAAATCAGTGGATCCTGAGGAAGGTGGAATAGGTGGGGAGAGCAGAATAAAGAGAGAGAGGTGAAGAAGGTCATACAAAAGCCAGCTTGAACAAGTGAGTCTTCAGCTACTTTTTAAAGGAGACCACTGAGTCCACTGATCTCAGGCTCAGGGGGAGAGAGTTCCAGAGTCTGGGGGCCACAGCAGCAGATGATCTGTCACCTTTGACCTTTAGCCTGGTGCGCTGCACAACCAGTAGGCTTTGATCACTGGACCTCAGGGACCTGCTGGGGGTGTAGGGACTGAGAAGATCACCGATGTAAGATGGTGCTTGTCCATGTAAGGCCCTATAGACCAGAACCAGGATCTAGAAATGAACCCTGAAGTTGACTGGCAGCCAGTGAAGCTGGAGGAGAAGCGGGGTGATGTGGGTGTGTTTTGTAAACGGTATTACCATAATACTGCCCAAGCCTATAGCGTAAACTGCATTATTCACTTCAGATCTCATCTTTATATTTGAAAATGTTGCCCTCATGGACAGAGGCTGCACTGTAAAACCCCCAGAGTGTTCACAAGGTTTTATTAACCAGACTGATAATAATTAGCTAAATTCCTCTAGATAGTATTGGGTTAATAAAAAAGCCATTATTTAAGTTCAGTTTGTTTTCACATTAATTTGTAGTTTTTTTTAGGTTGTTTATTATCCACTTTTAAAAATAAGCATAAACATGTTGTCGGTTGTAGTTGTGGTGACGATAATTCAGTTCCTCGTTCTGTTTGTGACACTTTTCTGTGATTCTTCCACCTCAGTCCTCCTAAAACAATAAAGCTACCTTCAGTTTACAGATTAAAGCTTAAGCAGCTCAAAGTGGAATGGAAACAGCTTCATAGATCAGATCTGAGTTAATTCAACACAGTTTATTTATTTATTTATTTTATTCATTCATTCCCTCTTCCTTTCACTAGGATTGTCCCATTGAGAATAATGTCTCTTCTTCCAGATCCTGGCGAAGATGGTGACTCATAGAACATTAAGCAGCCTTGTTCCAATACCACAGGAACTGAGTCTGAAGGAAAGTTTGTGTCATTATAAAAAATAATGTCAAGCACACGTTAAAGGCCGAGGATAAGGACAGCTACAGTATACTAGCAAAACACATCTCATTCGTTGTTGCATTAACAGTTACCGTAATTTCCGGACTATAGAGCGCACCTCAATATAAGCTGCACCAACAAAAAAATAAGGTTTTCTTCACACACGTCACACTCAAATACAAGCCGCGGCGCAGCAGCCACATGCAGGTCTCCGGCGCACAGCGCATGTACGGCCATAGCATAAGATAATTGGACAGAAAGACGTTGCACGGAGGTTTTTCGTTGTTGTTTTAATTCAACAAAATGAATTTTAAACACGGGTGAACGTGCGTGCAAGATTAGAAAAGAAAACAGCACTGATAGCATTTATATTTCTGGATGGTTATAAAATAAAAACTGACCTGACACCTATTACCGGTAATTTGCATGTTTAGAAGAAAAGAACAGCACTGACACAGCATTAATAAGCCCTGGATGATTAGAAAATAAACACTGCACACAAAACATGCCTGGTTAGTAAATAAAACACACTTGCCTACCAGAAGAAGTCATTCGCTCTCATCTTCCTCCTGCGCACTAAAGCCATTAAAGTCCTCTTCTTCAGTGTCGGAGTTGAACAGCCTCAGAAGAGCTTCGTCACATACCTTTTCTGTGGCGATGTCAGCGTCGCTGTCCGTGTTGCTGTCTTCATCCCCGGGTGAAGCTGGCTTGAATGAGTTCTTCCCGCTGCCGTCTCCAGCGCCGAACCATGGATTCATTCATGCCAAGCTTAAGAATAAGCAAGTCACCCCCTACCAGAGTATTACTCCACTCCCACTTCATGTTTGAAAAATGCAACAAAAGCTGTTGCCTGGCAGACCGAGAGGGCGGAGCCGCTAACAAATACACACACACACACAGGCTCACGACAGCATTGTGACATCATAACGTACCAGTTTACATCATAGCATACCTCTTAGCCAATAGCGGTGGCAGATTTAAATTCAAATACAGTGCAGAGTTTTTACCTGACGACGGCACAACACTGACAGTTTTAGGCAGAATATTTAAATTTTAACTAAGATGCACTAAAGTGCCAAATTATTGATGACACGTGTCTGCAGCACGATTAGACACTCGCTTATTTAGTTTATCAGCAAAAAAAAGTTGATTTGGGGGTGACTTGCTCTTTAAATAGGTGTAGGAGTGGGGCAGTGTTGCCACAGTTACCTTGAAATGCCAATCTGATTACTAACTACTGATTACTCCACTCAAAAGTAACTAAATTACTTTACTGATTACTGAGTAACTAAGTTAGATTAGAAATCACTTTATAAATTACATTAAACAGCTGATACTATTTGGAATCATTGCCTCAACATAAAACCAGCAATGCTGATGCAAAGCACTGGGAAGAATGCTAACAGCTAGCATCCAACGTGAGTAAACTCACTGACAGTCAAGGTTATCGTTAGATACATTGATGAAAACTCGAACGATCCCATTCCTCGGAATGGAACCACTACTCGCGGTGCAAATTTAACACCTACCAAAAGTGCTAATTGGTGTTCATTTTGCACATCAAGTAGCGGTTCCATTCCAAGGAATGCCGTTCGACTTTCTATCAATGTGTCTAACAATAATCATGACCGTCACTGTGTTTGCTCACGTTGGATGCTAACTGATAGCATTCTCCGCAATGCTAACAGTTTGCTTCAACTTGAGCAAACGCACTGAGCATAGCAAAACTAATTGCTGGTTTTTATGTTGAGGTCATTTGTACAGTTAGTAGCTATTCCTATAGCTGGTTTTGACATATTTGCAAAACACAAAAATGGTTACGCAAAACCTGTAACCAGTAACACTTAATTTCTTGGAAACGTAACTTTAATCTGATTACTGATATGGAAATAGTAACTCATTAGATTAGTTGTTGCTGAATAAAGTGGCCGTTTTAGAGAAACGCACTCCTACTGGCATCACTGGAGTGGGAACATGGGATGGACATGCTTGAAGCGCTGGTGCAGACCCAGCCAGGATGTCAGGGGTATTGTGGGTTTCACTGAAACATCCCTGCAGGGATGGATTCCTGTTTTCAACATTTCTCTCTCCAGCTCTTAGACCGTTTGAGCAGACAGAGATCTGAAGCAGAAGAGGTGGATCATAACTGCTTGTCGGCAACAGATGGTGTGGATTACCCAACATGCTACTGTTATGTTTTATCCTAACAGCCAACATTGTTTTCCAAGGGAGTTGTCCTGTGTCGTCACGGTGACTGTATATATTCCTTCATCATGTAATGTCCTCAGTTGTTGCTAAACTACAGACACATCATCCCAGTTAAGGATAAGAAGGACAACCAGACAGAAGTCTGGACAAAGCCAGTTAACTGAGGGTGTTCTTTTTGGTTCAGCATCTTCCTCTTCTGCCCCTAAATAAACAGGCCTCCCACCTTCTATTCCCTGTTTCAGCTTTCACCTCATGGATAATGCAGCTGCTCAAGCAATGTTGGTAAACAGCATCAGGAGATTCTGGTGCTCCTCTGACTTCCCTCACCTAACTGCCTTCAGCAGTCAGATGATGAGACTAAACCAGAACAAGGCTGCAGGGCCAGATGGAATCAATTCCCAGCATTCCCAAGGCCTGTAAAGACCAGTGCTAGCCTGACCCAGGAGAATGTTCCAGTTCTGTGGAAGACATCTTGCCTTGTTCTACGTTCTAAAATATGTCACCCGTCTGCCCTTAATAACCACATCTGAGTTGCTCAAACATCACATATCAGAGACTGGCCCATCTGAATGAACAAACCAACACCTTTTGGGACCCCCACAGTTTGCTTATCACGGTGTGGTCGGAGCTGAAGATATTATCACATAGCTGTTTCAACAAATCCACACTCATCTGAAGAGAGAAGACAGCATCGTGTTCTTTGATTTCTCCAGTATTTAAAACAACCAAGCTGGATATTTTATGTAAGAAACATCAGAATAGGAATACTTCACAATCAAATCAGTCACCTGGGCCCTCATTTATCAACCATACTTATGCACAGATTTGTGCCTATTTGGTGCGTAGGAGCAGTTTTATGCATTTTGTACTTGTGCGCAGAAATATTCCCAAATAGAAAAATAGCCCTGATCGTGCATATGAACAGCATCTGGATTAATGGCTACCTAAAAAGGTTGTGTGCAGTGCAGGAGCGCCACAGGGGACAGTACTCTCACCACTCATTTTTACTCTGTACATCCTAGACTTTCAGTACAACTGTCATCTGCAGAAATATGACACCGCAGTTGTTAGATGTTACAAAGATGGACAAGAGACCAAGTTCAGATCCTGCTGGACCACTTTGTGGAGCGGTGGGGCAACAATCATCTTAAATGTAAATGAATCAAAGAAGAGTGTGGATTTTAGAGGAAGCAGGAATAAGGCAAACACTTGTTCCATCCCGGGAGAAGATGTGGTGGGTGTTGGAGGAAAATGAACACCTCAGTGTTCACCTGGACAGCAGACTGGACCGGAGACACAACAGTGAAGATACATATAAGAAGGGGCAGGGCAGGCTGGATTTGTCGAGGAAGCCGAGATCCTTCAGTGTTTGCTGCAAGATGTTCCATATATTCTATAAATGTGCTGTCAAGAGTGCAATTTGATCTAAAGACATCTGTCAAGGAAGCGTCATCAGAGCCAGTGATTGTAAAAATGATGTTGAAGAAGATGAAACAGTTTTTATTCAAGTTTTTCAATTTCAATTCAAGTTTATTTATATAGCGCCAAATCACGACAAGAGTCGTCTCAAGGCACTTCACACAGTATTCCAATACAGGTCAGTTCATTAAGCCAATCAGAAAAAAGTTTCTTAAATAAGGAACCCAGCAAATCGCATCATTTATATAGCTCCTCTAAAGATAAAAATCACTAGGATTCACATGAACAAAAAAACAAAAAACTGTTTAAAATGTAGAAGTGATTTTTTTTTAAATAATCATAATAAAAAATGGGGCAAAATGAAAACATTTAGAAAAACAAATAAGAAGGAAAAAAGAAAATGAATAGGTAAAAGTTATATGAGATCCCGAGAAGGGCAGAATTGGTAGAAATGGCAGCATCAAAAGAAGGTAGTCGGGAAGAATCAACAGAATGTCACAACAAAATCCAGCCTGAACAGATGAGTTTTCAGCTGCTTTTTAAAGGAGACCGCAGCAGCAAATGATCCATGGTCATTAGCCTGGTACACTGCACCACTAGTAGGCTTTGATGACTGGACCTCCAGGACTTGCTGGGATTCCTGCAGGATCTTGAAATGAACCCTGAAGTTAACTGTCAGCCAGTGAAGCTGGCACCATGGGCGAGGGAGGTAGAGGAGGGCAGAACCCAGTCTTTGAGCCTGTCCAGTAGCAGGTGATGATCAACAGTGTCAAAGGCTGCAGTCAGATCCAGTAGAACCAGAACAGAACACTCCCCTGCATCACTGTTAGTCAGAAGGTCATGAGAGACCCTACGAAGAAATGTTTCAGTAGAATGGGCTCCATGAAAACTATCACTAAACTGCACTATCGTAGATGTTATGTTGATCAAGAGCAGATGTGAGTTGTTTAACCTCAACCTTTTCCAAGATCGTGGAGATGAACAGTAGTTTAAAGATGGGTCTGAAGCTGCTGTGGAGAGATGAATCAACCCTGGTTTTTTTTAAGAAGCAGGTGGATTATAGCATCCATAAAATAATGGAGATCTGGGCACTGCCCTGGAGACTTTAGAGCTGACTGGACAAAGGGAGGTGCATCAGAAAATGAAGAACATGGTGGAAAATGTGGGAAAACCCTTCACAAGAGAGGAATTCAACACTGTCTTCACTTATAAGTTCTTCAGACCTATTGCAACACTGTCCGCTACACAAAATCCTTCCTGCCCACAGTTAGAGCCAGATATAACCAGTTAGAACCAGACACAATGAAACTTAAGTTACTACATCTTATTTCTCACAGGGATAAAAATATTGGGATTGAATTGAATTGAAATGAACTGGATTGAATTAATTGAGTTGAGTTTAACTGAGCCTGTGCTCATGGAGTAATGAGGTTGGCAGGGGAGTACCGAACATCTTCAGAAATAACCTGGTGTACTTGTTGTCTTTTTGTCAGAATTTCCACAGAGCACTCCCCCAAACTGCAGATCAGGAGCCACAGTTACCTACGCGCGGTGAGTGAGGTTTCAATAAATAGAAGTGTGGATACCCTGGATCCTAAAACTCTCCTCGACCCCAAATCACTACTTTCCTCACCTCAATACCGCTCACGAAATGAAAGCTACATGAGAGCCATGAGCACCATAAGTCAGGTTGGTTGGTAAAACTTCTGCCTATATAATCATTACACAAAGGTTAGTTCTGCTCAGTACTGTGTGGTACTGTTTTATCAATCTTATTGGGGCAGGGCGAGTGGTTTGTTTGTTACTGCGGTGTCCACAGCTGTGTGCATGCTTTGGTTGATGGTCACTTATGCAGGTGCTTCTGTACCTTCAACAAGCTATTTTGCACACTCACAGTAAAGAAATGGATTCTTATGATGTATTTTATCACTCACCAATCCTTCCCTTGTATCCCCTTGATGCACTCAGTGTTTGTTGTGCGCAGAAAAAATGCGTGATCACAAGTTTTAAAACTGTGACCCAATCACTTTACTCGCACTGCTCGCTACACCTCCCTGTGAAGTGCACTTTGAGGAGGGGCGCAGTAAAGCTTTTAGTGCGTAGTTAGGGGTACGCAATTCAGTACACAATTCAGCCGAATTGGGACAGGGAGCATTGCATCATTGACTGAGACACATGCCGGGATACCGGTCACTGTTTGGCCTACTTTTAAAAAAAACTTTTTTAACAACCCTCAAACAAACAATTATCCATTCATCCATCCATCTATTTTCAGCCACTTATCCGGGGTCGAGTCATGGGGCAGTAGCCTAAGCAGTCTCAGACTTCCCTCTCCCCCTGCCACTTGGACCAGCTCCTCCAGGAGAATCCTAAGGTGTTCCCTGGCCACTCAAGAGAGTCCCTCCAGTGTGTCCTGGGTCTTCCTTTAGGTCTTGTCCCGATTGGACATACCCGGAAAACCCCACCAGGGAGGCATCCAGGTGGCATCTTAACTAGATGCCCGAGCCACCTCAACTGGCTCCTCTCAATGTGGAGGAGCAGCTGGTCTACTCAGAGCCCCTCCCGGATGACCGAGATTCTCACCCTATCTCTAAGGAAGCGCCCTAACACCCTGCAGAGTAAACTTGTTTTTTCCGCTTGTATCCGCGATCTCATTCTTTCGGTCCCTACCCAAAGCTTGTGACCATAGGTGAGGGCTTTCTCTCACTCGTGAACAAGACCCCAGAGATACTTAAACTCCTCTACTTGGGGCATGACCTCATCCCTGACCCAGAGATGGCATTCAAATTCAATTCAAATTCAAATTCAACGATACTTTATTAATCCCAGAGGGAAATTAGAGTTTCAGTACACACAATTCTGAGATCAGACATACATAGGAGAAGACACATGACAAGAATTGGTGACTGTGGTCGTTCGCAACCCGAGTTGCCCTACCTTAATAGAGATCAGAGGGGTTTACATGAGGATTGGTTCAGGTAGAGGAAAAAAGGCGCTTCAGAGTTACCCTCCACAGGGGGGGCAGCTTTGCTATGCAAAAAACACCTCAGACAGAAATGCAACAGACTTCAGATATTACACAACATAAGTGTCCACTAGGTAGGGTGGTGGGTTTGGGACTCTCCACACGTCAGCAGCAGCCGCGATGAGCAGCGCTCTTCACCTCAATCTGGACAGGGGTGGGAGGTTGTTGGGTTTAGAGGGCACAGTGACTCCTGGAATGATTCAGTGGCCTTCACAGCTCGCAGTCCCACCCAGGCTGGAATAGGGAGACAGAGTTGCCATGGTGACGGCGGCATTCCAAATTTCTTCTGGGGGGTGGGTATTCGAGTCAGCCTCACAGGCACCAGATTCAGATAAGAAATTGTTTTGGGGCCAGACAGAGATAAGTTCCTCTCTGTCTTAAAGTTCTGTTGGTCCTCAACCCCTCTGAATCCAATAATGGCGTAAATTAATCTATCCCAATCCATGCTGATTCGTCCACTCGCTCCTTGATCGCATCCATCTTTTGTGCCAATTCATGAATCTCAGCCAAAGTTCGATGCTTACGACTCATCTCGACAATTATATGAGTTTGTGCATTCACGGCACGGTATAATCCATCCCTGAGCTCTGGGAAAGAGCCAATATTCCTCGACAGCTCGTTAATTTTCCGTTAAGCCAGGTAAACCTGACACCAACCCCACAAATATCGAGACATCTTCAGAATCGTCTACAGACAGTTGAGATAAGCAAATCAGGTTCCACTGCTTCCAGGAGTCCATGATATGCCCAACTGGATCTGGATTCTACCCTTTTCCGACTCACAACAACTATTATTTGATAAAATTTAAATGCTTCACTGTCCACATTAAATCTTAGTCTAAAACATCCAGACATTGTCTTAAAATGAACGTATTTCATTTTAATATACATATTTTCAAAAAAGGCACTTGAGCCATTGCTCCGCCTTCTCTAAATTCCCACTCTGCAGTGGATTGTGGGTAATATCCTTGACCAAAGTCTCCACTGATGCGAACTTGGGCGAAGTGCAGATCAAGGGTGCAAAATGGGCGTGGTCGTCTTCCGCAGTTGAGAATTGGGACACCCTACGCACTCGACCCATGGCCGAGAACGTGCAATTGAAGGGCGCAAGGGTGAAAGTGTGAATGTTGGGCCTGTGCTCGACCTGAGTACTTCTCTGCCTATTTTATTTCGGCAGCTAATTCCGACAACAGGAGTAGAAGACTAGTTTCCCGTTTACCCGACATGTGAATCTCCGAGTGATTGATCCTATTTCAAAAAAGAAAACGTATTATACGGTTCTCAGTGAACCTCCACTCTAAGTAAAACTCAGCTAAACAAAAATGTATTTATAATCAAATATAGAAAATAAAACAATTGTTTTTAGTTTGTTTTTTTCTTTAATAAAATAAAATAAACCATTCACCATTTTTTTCCCCAAGATTTTTGTTCCTGTTTAAAAATCCTCAACATAGTTCTTTGTATATACTCTAAGTCTTTGCCTCTAAGAATTGTTATGATAATCTTGTAGATCAGGAGCTTTTCCTATTTCTTACCCTTTCTGTTTTTAACTCCTCTTTGTGCACCTTTTACTAATCTAATGCCCTTTCCTCTTTCTAGCTGAGTGAGGTGGAAGTGAATGGGCAAATTGAGCAGGTATGCGAGCAGGTCTATAGTGAGATGCAATCTCAAGCTATGGACCCTGGAATGGACAGCTTGGAAACAATGGACACGCTGCCTATGCCAGGATGTTTCCGGATGCGAAGCCACAGCTACGTGAGAGCAATTGACCAGGGATGTGCAGGGGAGGAGGAAGGAGAAGGAGGAAGACCACTGTTGCTGCTACCATCATCGCCACCACGCACATCTGCAACAACCGTCAGGACCATTCAAAGCAGTACAGGTAGGACATGAGAATCACTCAGAATATACGTTTTATTAGTTTTTTTAATAAAGTAGGTAAATTGAGTGATTGGTCAAACATAATTTATGTTCCATAATTGAGAGATTGGCTTTTGCTATTCTTCAATAATGTCAAACGTCTAACCTTCTGAACGCTCAGTATTTAGTTTATTTTTTATGAAATATCAGAAAATACTTGGACAGCTAACTTGCTGCAAAATGCATTTAATTGTTGCAGCTCTTTCAGTACAGCAGTTCCAAATTTGGAAGATGGCTCGGATCTATCTGCTAGGAGTTTTATCTCTAAAGGAATATTTCTGTTTATCCAGTGTGTGTCTGGTTACACATAAGAGGTCACACAATGGATTGTTTTTGTTTGCTCCTAAATATCTCAGACACCTATGTAATGGATATTTGTGAAGTAGATATTTTAGTGATTTGATATGATCAACCCTGAACACCTTTTTGCCAGAAAACTGATGGTCTGTGGAACTCAACTGGACTTTTTGTCCATCTGATGCATCTGAAATGATCATCTTTTAACAAAATGCTTAAACATGTGAGAAAGAAAAACAGCAAAACAGCTTTGGGATGCTTGATTACTTTAATGTCTACGATAATTCCCAGTCAGGTTTTCATGAAGCTCGTTCTGCTTAGCCTGCTCTCCTTAGAATGCCTAATGGAGAGTCTACTGTAGGGCTGGCGATGAAACCGTAGCAAGTACTGTGCAAAACCTTTAGGTAGGTGTGGAAATAAATGCTGTAAATAAAAAAAATATATATTTAAAAAATGGAATGGTAAATGGCCTGTATTTGATACAGCGCCTTCTAGAGTCCTAGAACCCCCCAAGGCTCTTTACAACACAATCAGTCATTCACCCATTCACACACACATTCACACACTGGTGGGGATGAGCTACGATGTAGCCACAGTTGCCCTGGGGAGCACTGGCGCCACCGGTTCCTCCAACCGCCACCAGCAGGCAATGTGGGTTAAGTGTCTTGCCCAAGGACACAACAACAGCGACAGACTGAGCGGGGCTTGAACCTGCAACCTTCCGATTACGGGGCGAGTACTTAACTCCTGTGCCACTGTCGCCCCAGAAATGCTGTATAAAAATAATTTCCTCCTTGTTTCTTACATTTAAATTTACATATAGCTTTTCCGGCTACAGACCTGAGGAGGAACCGTACTCAGGACGACCTTCCTAAAGACGGCCTGCTGGTTAAAAGCTGGATAGCTAGTGCAGATACGGGGCGAGCGCTTAACTCCTGTGCCGCCGTCGCCCCTTTTAAAACTGGAAGTGTTAATCATTTATTTTCATCAACAACAAAAAGCAGTGAATGATCAAAAGAGAAATCTAAATCAAATCAATATCTGGCATGACCACTGCATCCTTTGCCTTCAAATCAGCATCAGTTCTTCTTGCTCCACTTGCACACAACTGTTGAAGGAGCAGGGCTGGAAGCTTGTCCCAAACATCTCATCTTCTGTAGATGTAGGCTTCCTCACATCCCTTTGTTGAGATCAGGGCTCTGCGGGGGCCAGACCATCACTTCCTGGACTTGTTCTTCTTCACATTGAAGATAGTTCTAAATGACTCTGGCTGAATGTTTGGGGTCTTTCTTTTAGCATTTTCTAAATTGATAAAAATAAACAATCATTCTATTTATTAACTCCAGTTTTGAATCTTAGATGATCTTATTCCACCTGCCTGGATGCTTTCCCCCCTCATAAACTCAGCCCCCAGCTCCTCCGCTGCTGGTGAAGGTTATCTTGCAGGATCTGATGTCTGTGGGTTTTTTTTCTGTAATGTCCAGTTTGTTATTAAACACAGCAACAGGTCAGCTCCACCTTTCACACCTTACTGAATATTTCCTTACCATTTGATACAGAATGCTTTATTCGTAAACACACACACACACACACACACACACACACACACACACACACACACACACACACACACACACACACACACACACACACACACACACACACACACACTTTTTTTCATAAGGCATTTTGGATCTGTTAATGATTTCCACTTACTTTTACTGAAATGAGGTAGATTGTTGTTGTTTTTATTTTAAAAGTAGAGAAAACGTATTAATTCAAATCATCAGTTAATTTCTCTAGTAGAAATAAATTCCTTGTGAGTCATATTCTGTGGGATAAAAGCTCTGGCGCACCAGTTTCGGGAACTAGAAGATTGACATATCAGAGCTTGGCTTCAAATGACAAGATATTTGGACATCTCTGATTGGCTAACAGCAGCATAACTCTACCACTAGTGTCTACAGTGACAGGCTTTATCTTATCTCTAATTCAAAATGTACGTTCTTTATTTACATCAGTTTAATTTATCAGAAAATTACCGCCACCTACTGGTAAAGAGTGAGAATGCAAGCTAGTTTGGTTGCAAACAGTTCAACAGAACTCTGCCCTCTTGCCATGATTGGACAAGAATCCACGACTCATGATTGACCGGTCAGAAAAAGCCTGTTGTAACATTTTGTGAGTGGTTATTTTTAATAAATGGTCAATAGAACATAACGGTTAAATATTCCATAAAGATATGGATTATAAATATTACTGAGCCTTTAATATTCGATTGGTGACGAAACTAGGTACTTTGGGTATGCCAGGGAAACAACACTTTAAAATAGTTTGACAGAGGCAAAAATATAGTTTATAAATATCTGTTTATTACTATAACCCTATTGTCAATGATGATAAAAGGCAAATTATTATAAATGGTGAGTCAAAGTGATTTTAAATGAGACAATGAATGAACTCTGATGAAACATGATCTTGTGTGTTTTAAGAGCTTCACTAAGTGACTCAGAAAAGTGTGATGTCTGCGTTTATAAAATCATTTTGGCTGATTTAACAAGTTATCAAATTAATATTAACCACTCTAACGCCATTGAATAGCCTATGCACCAGGGTAGTGGAAGTTCTCTGGGATCCGGTCTGCAAGCGAAGTCGTCTCTGCAAGCGAGTGAGTGGACTTCTGATGTATCTGAAGGTCCTAGGGCCCCTCAGAAATCGCACGACTGGTCGAAAAGATACTTCCCAGGTGACTTCTGGCAGACGGTTTTACATCTCATGAGTTGGTGGCGGATTGAGCAAATAATAATTGATTGATTCGAAAAGGACGGTTCTTTAAGTCGCTAAAATTATTCCACAGTAAAATCTGGTTGGTTCCCCATACGATGGTTCATTTAGCATGAGCTGTGAGCTTGTCTGTAACTCGGAGCTCTGGTGGAACTGGTGAAAACAGGAAGTGATTTCACTTTCAGGAAGAGTTTGTTGATAACTTATTTTTTGTTTGAATTTGAATCGACGTTTACTAAAACCCTCAGACGTCACACATTCCTCAGGCACTCAGAAGACGCTGATTCCACTTAATGTGATGTGAATCTGTTAAACATTCATTTGTGAATCCTGGTTTTAATATGTGAATGTAACTGATAATGAATCATTATTAAATTAATAAAATAGACTCATTTGGGGTATTAAGATCTGAAAAAAGTCATGAAATAATAAACATTTACGTTGATTAATGAATTAATTATTAAATCACTTTAGATAGAACATTCATCGTAGATAACACAGAATATAATTGTAAACAACCTTGTAGATTGAAAGAAATCATTTTGAGTCCAACATAAGAATCATTTTATTCAAAGAAAAGAGTCTCGTCTTTTGAATGGGACCTTGGAGTTGCAGCTCAGATAAGGGAGTCAGGAGAAGGATTTTATTACGGCTACCTTCTGGTGCAAGGCTACAGACAGCCTGTGTCTTGAGGTGAAAAAGCACAGTTAATGCCCAGACTTAGAGATACTCGTTCATGCTTTTATTTCCAGTCGGCTGGACTACTCCAATGGTCTCCTAACTGGTCTTCCCAAAAAAGCTGTGCAGCAACTGCAGCTTGTTCAGAATGCTGCTGCTAGAGTCTTAACAAGAACTAAAGAGAACGGAGCACATCACTCCTGTTCTTACATCCCTACACTGGTTACCAGTAAACTACAGAATAGATTTCAAAGTGCTCCTACTAGTTTATAAATCACTCAGTGGCATGGGACCAAATTACATGTCTGATCTCATTCCTGTATGTACACCCAATAGGGCTCTGAGATCCTTAGGCAACAATCAGCTGGTAGAACCACGGGTCAGAACCAAAAAAGGTGAAGATGGTTTTAGCTACTATGCTGCTCATATATGGAATCAGCTCCCCCTTGATCTCAGATCTGCCCCAACCCTAGTGTTGTTTAAATCGAAACTTAAACCCCTAATGTACTCATCATCCTCGATGTTATTGCTCAACCTTTATTTTGTATTTTCCTTTTAGCTCTAAATTATAATTTTATCTACGTACATTTTTCATTTGTGTTCTCCTGTTTATTGTCGTGCCATTTCATGCTAATTGTCAAGCACATTGAATTGCCCCTTAGTTTGAAATGTGGTCTATAAATGAAGCTGCCTTGCCTAATGTGCTTTTAACCCTTGATGAAGCAGGCTGTGGACAAATCAGTCTGGTGACCTCTGACATTACGGTGGACAACAAACCTCGTTGGAATTTTCCAATGCTACACTGCCAATAGTTATTTGGGAAAGGAAGTTAGAATTGGGACAAAATGCGTTGTAACACAAAAATTTGAGTTTTGTAACTGTAGACTGAGATGTGTGTTTGCGAGTTGGAGGTTTTCATGTTAAGCTTTCATGGAAAATGCAGAGTGACTGATTATAATCAGAAGTAGTCGTTAAACAATGTTTTTTTGGTGTTCCACACATTTGAATGTGAATAAGCTGCGCCATGCTCACTCACTCCTGCTTTAGTTGCCATGAGGTGAGGAGCTCAGATATCTGGGAGGGACTCGGAGTAGAGCTGCTGCTCCTCGTGTTGAGCAGCGCTCAAAGCCTACCTCAGCATTGGCAGGTGAGGGGTGGCTCTATGCTTTTCTTTTTAATCTACTCATCGGAGCATATGATTTA